TTGCAATGTTATTTGTCTACCTCAACTGCACCGAATGCGTAATATATACGTTTCCAAATGTATTAATATTCAGTCATTGTAACCGTTTAATAATTTTTTGTGCTAAACAAGCCTCTTGTAATGCTGACTTCCAACGTTCTTCATATAATACAAATCTGATATGCCATTATTCAAATAGACTAACATCTGGCGTTTGTAATCATTTTCGTGTAATAATTTTCAACGTCAGAAAATGTATCGAGTCGTTGGACGTCGTTCTCTTTAGACGTTCCTAACTTCGTTAATTTAACGAATTCATCAAAATCTTTTGGCAGATATATTTTTACAGGTCTACTATTTGAGAAAATGCAAAAAAAAAAGAAGAATTGATATTTTGAAAGTTCTATAATAGAATACCCTCTTAATGTCACGCTATTCTTTTCTTTTGAAAAGTGTCGTTTCTGGTCGTTTCTCATCTTGATTTATGAAAGCGTGAAACTGTCCTTGTCACCATTTCTAACTACGTCGTAAAGAGCACTATTAACCTTGATGGGAACCGGAGGATATCGTTTTTAAGTGTTTATTTCCTCTTCTAATCGGACCCGGTATTCATACCAGTTCTCGAAGGGAATCGCTGAAGGCCTCGATCATTTTATGTATTCCCCGAGAGTCGGTGCATAAAATTTCACGCGACATATTTCTCTCCTCTGTAACGCTACCAACCGCCTCGAAAAGGAGTCGTCGTGTTTTCACGAAGGAAGGACTGTCGATAACTTGTCCAATTCGTCTACAAATGTTCGTAATTTTTCAGCTTTACGGAACCAAAGAAGTGCCTGAAGGGACCTCCGGAGGACCAATTCGAAGTCTTTCTTTGCCAAAGAGACGGAGAGATAATATATTTGTATATACAATTAAAGACAATTTTATTAACCGAGCTTTGGATGATCCACGAGACTTTGAATCGATCGCCTTAAAATTCAGTATATGGATTCTGAATTGAACCTCCGAGGATTCTAGAACTCGTGTGATCATTAAATCGAATTTTAACTGTCTAAGATAAGAAGAGATCTATAATCGGGGCCGCTAAATAAGAATTTAAATAAAATCAAGATTCTGTAACGTGTGCGATAATCGAACCGAAAGCTCCAAAAATCGGAGTTCTTTGGCCACTTGTGATCATTCAGGATTCGTCGAGCGAGAAAATTAGCAGAAACCGAAAGTTTCTCCAGATGAAATTTCGGAAATCGTCGAGGTCCAGCCCGAAGATGGAATTACTCTCGAGGCGATCGTCCAACGACAGGATGTCGACCCTGAAAAGGTCGAGGTCCTTCCGGGCGTCGTTGAAGCTAATGTCGAAGCTGCGAAGTCGCGCCACCTTGCATCTAAACACTGGCTTCGATTTATCCCCTAATGCCACGCGCGATCAGCGTTCCGGCAACCGTGGGAGCGAGCTTCCGCAGGTGGAGGAGTCCTCGAGTCCTGTAACGAGCACGGAGAATCACAATCCTTCGAGGGACGAGAAGGTGGTCGAGGACCGGAACGAGTCGCTGAACGAGCTGGAGTCTCGTGGAATCAGTAAGGAGCTGAAGAACAAGTTGTGTCTGACCGACAGGATAATGAGGAAGAACCGCAAGGACCCGGAGAAACCTTCGAAGAAAACCGACGGCCTGTCGTCCGCTCACGTTTTTCGTTGGAGGAGCGACGAGACGGGGTCCTGCGAGAAGAAAAATGCTTCGACTAGTCAGGTGTCCTACGAGAATCCTACTTTCTGTCTGGACAGCTCCTTGGATTCTTCCGTCGCGAGTTTCCTGTTCGAGGCGGAGGACTCCGATCGCGAGTCGAACGAGAAGGAGCCCAAGGACGAATCCTCTTTGGGGAAATCCTGTCAGGAGCCTGGATTGACCGTGGTGGTAGATTCTCAAGGACCACGTGACCGGAAAATGGAGTTCCGTTGCGTTCACAGCAGCGAGGTATTCGAGACGGAAACTGAGTGCAATAGAAACACCTCTTGTTCGTTGATCGTCGGAACCAAGGCGAGGAGCCTGTCCGTGAACGACGTGGTTCTGCAGGACGAGGAAAGGGCAGCGAGTTTGCACTCGTTCGTCTACGACGAGTCTGCTTTAGAGCGTCCGAATGTTCCGGCGGTGGAGCTGGTGTTGAAAGGGCAGAAGTCGGCCGAATTGGTTAGGAGAACGTCCGTTTGCTCATCGAAGTCCTGCAGGCTCAGGACGGTAGACAATATCGCGAGTTTCTGGACGAACGCACGCGGCGGAAGCTTTCGCAACAAAGTGTCCGTCGGAAGGAAGAAGTCCATCAAGGATTCGAGGGACACCGAGTCCATCGTTGGACAGAACAGGGTCCTCGTCACGACCACTTCCGGATCAAGTACGAGCCATCAAGTTTTTATTCGTCGAGAAAAGTTTGGTAGTGTGGAAAGACGAAGACCCATGCCAATGCTGTCCACATCGCAGCCAATTTATCGCTAGAACTACCCGGATCAATCCATATCTGTTAAACATATTATTAGGCTCGCCTTTTCATTCAAGTTTCACATTCCGCCTATTGTTAAATGTTTTTTGCATAATGTTTTAAATAATTAGAAACAGGATGTTTCGTTCTACCGGAATCTACGTTTTGTTTTTTAATTCGAATTAGTTTATGATAACCCTTTGACCGCGAGACGATTTTTGCTGGAAATTGTGCGGGACATACTACTGCCAGGGTCGCGCCTGTAGTTTAAGCGCCCGGTCAAAGTAGATGAAATTTTAAAATTCGTCAAATGTATTTTTTAAAAGTATCTTCTCGTTGAGAACGACAAGACGAGTTGTTTTTTTTTTTCGAGTAGCATTGCAAGTAATAAGCTATTTCGTGATAAATTCATTTTTATTTAAATGAAGTATTAGGTGTACAAATAAGTTCGGTGGCTTTTTGTCATATATTCGATGTTTATTTATAAGAAAAAGGAATACACGTTATGTTTCAAAGTAATCACCATTACTTTCTACACACTTCTTCTATTTTTCGGCTAGTTGGCGAATTCCGTTTCTATAAAATAATGGTGGTTTTGATTCAATAAACTCATTACTGCTTTTTTCGACTTCTTCGAAAGATTTGAAATGAGAATCAACTTAGTGGTGTTGTAGCGACCGAAAAAGATGGTAGTCTGAGGGGACCATATCTGGAGAATATGCCGCATGAATGGGAATCATTTTTGTAGCCTCAGCAGCATTTCTCTTCGACTCAAATGCAAAGAGAAAACAATGTCTAATGTGCTCTTTCTGAAACGCCATGATGCGAAGTATTGTTTTCCGAGGTTATATACCAATTAGGTTAAAGTTATATAGTGAATTTAGTAGCGTGAAGCTTATACCTTAAGGGGCTTGGAACATCAAAAAATGAAAAAAAAATCACTTTTTCTTTTATTATTCTTTTTTTTTTTTTTTTTATTAAAATTTAAGCGATTCTGAACAATTCTACGCAAAAAAAATTTTTTTATCACTTCTAGTGCTTCAAATTCAATGTTCTTTGCGTAGAATTGTTCAGATTCGCTTAAATTTTAATTAAAAAAAATTAAAAAGTGATTTTTTTTTCATTTTTTGATGTTCCAAGCCCCTTAAGACACCGATCGGCGAGAAAAAAAATTTCAATTTGAAAGGTAATTACAGCTGAATATATGTAAAGGCACCGAACTTATTTGTACATCTAATAATAATAATAAATTAGTCGAAAACGTAACATAAAATTTTGCGATATGAGGTTCCGTTTTCGTAAAAATCGATCTTGAAATTTGATTGCGACACAAATACGACTTCGAAATTTCGTTTCTTTTTAAATCTTTGCATTAATATTTGTTGTATATGAATATACTACTCGAAAACAGTAATACTCTATTGTAAATAGCGTTTGTTTTCCTATAATTAACTATTCTTCGTTTTATAAATAATTGTACGTATGAACGCGTATGAATAGGGAAGCGACGCAGGAACCGTAAAGTTGAGATTAAGCAGTCAAGTGCGTACTTGACCTACATATCCTCAAAATCGATTTTCTCGACGACAAAACTGTGGACAAATAAAATTTATTCCCCGCTTTCGATTACTTTTCTACATAAAATCACTTGCTTTTCGATGTTTAGTCATTGCGTGACACTATATACATTTAATTTATTTTTCATAATATTGGTAATAATCGTCTCGGTATTTTACACGGTGCGGTAAAATTCGTGAATCGATAGGAAATAGAGCGATCCTGTACGTAAAAATAATTGGAAAATGTAAAGAAATATTTCTAAAGAAATCAATTATGAAAATTGATGTTGCACATGTGCGATTGAATACGACCTGGCTAATGTGTCCGACCATTACTCTCTACTTCTACTTGCACTGGTGCTTATAAACGTTAACGGTGGTACGGTATTCCTTCCATCTTTTTTGCTGTTTTCTAATCAGCACAATTGTAACAACAGATAATACTGTTCATTATTATCGGTATTATTATTGGTATGCCATTGTTCATTCCATTAAATCAATATATTCTTATTTTTACTCTTTTTATTCAAAAATACAAATCGATACGTGAATTGCTGGTTGACTCTAGATAACAACTTAGGTAATTCCGAAAAATTTAGCGAAAAATTCTGATCGTAAAACCCATACGAAGTCTTTATTCGTCGTAGAAAATACGCATCCAGATAAAACATGTTTCAATTAAAAGAAACTCGAAGGGCGAAAGCATGTTGCTATTTATCAGGGCAACGTTTAATCGCCGAAACGATCAACAAATTCATTTAAACGCGACAATGGTTTTTACTTTCTCTCCGCTCCCTACAATTAATCATTGCCATTCTTTTTCTGCGTGACTTTTGGCAATCAGCGCAGAAGTCAAAATAATTCTCGTGTTCTTTCACTTTCTCTGGTTTTCCGTTGCTTTTAATTTATCATTTTATTTTTTGCGCGTCACTCCACTGCGCGTTATTCCCATTGTTATCCTTTATTCAGTTCCCTTTGTTTATGTTCAAACAGAGTTGTACTCTTTGCAAGGGATGGAGTTCCTGGAGGGATTCGGGAAGAAAAAGCAGCAGCCACATCAGCAAACAAACAACATAGCATCGGTGCACATCAATCCCTTGTCGGCACAGTCCCTCAACATACACCTGCATGGTAGTTTATTTATTGATTTATTATTTATTTTCTTTCTCATTATCTCCTAATTTACTCAATTAACCTCGATGTACAAACTTCGTGTCCAGGCTGATCGTCGTTTATTTTTTAACTTCGATATTAATCATCCATTTTTTTTTTGGCGTAACTTCATTTTTATCGAGTAAACAAACTTTATTTTTACTGCTTTATTTTTATGTTTAATATGCTCGAATCGCGATTCATCGTTGCGAGTATTTCGAACGTTATTTTTTCAAAGGTATTTTAAATTTCATCTATTTTCAATAAAAAAAAAAAGTGATATTTTTTAACAACATTGTATCGTTACGTGAATTTTATTTTTACAATTACGTATATTATTGACACTTTTATTTCGTTGTAATTCAACCACTGCTTACCTTATTAATCGTTTCGGTTATATTTTCTATGTGTTCGTAGCGTAAAAGATACCATTATGCTTACTGCGACTGCAAAATTTTACTTAAATTATAATTTATTTCTTGTACCATCGAGTTACGATTTCGTATTATTGATTACTACTTGTACTCCTTGACTGTAACTCTGGAACGTTTCATTATACGAGATGAAAAATGAAAAAGCTTGAAAAAGTGTTATGACTTACAGATTCATCGATAATCGATACCCCAACGAGAACTGCTTTTCAATCTTTCCAGTACTGTTAATCGATTCGAAGAGAAAACCGATCATATTGCGCATGTAATATAGTTCTTCCTTTTTCTCTATCTTTCAGCCCTCTTCGCAGCCGTGGAGCATGGCCATTTGGACAAAGCCAGAACTATTTTGGAATCGACTGACGTAGACGTGAACAGGTGAGGTTATTAAACATTTCTACTAAAAGATCCTTTTATAAAATATATACACCTTTCGAATTTCCTAAATAACTTAACATTTCAAGATTTTATATGCATTCGAATGGCATGAATGATCTTCGAATATTTATTTATTCATGTCTCCAAACGGAACCGATGAATTAGTGATACTTTATAACGCAGCCATAATAATTTATCGATACATGGAATTATGAACTCTACGATGATGTTACAAATTTATAAACTGACTATTTACCTACAATCCTTCGATTTAACGGCAAGAATTAGTCGAGCTCGCTCTCACAGTTAGTATAAGAAGTATTCGTACAGCGACCAATTTAAAATAAATGGTTCCTGTACGAATACTTATTACACCGACTGTATGCTTGAAACTGAAGCTTCTTTTTTTTTTTGTCATATAATTAAAAATGATCCGATTTAGATCATATTTAGACTTTTCTATGAGAAATGCTCGCGCAATCCATTTACAATATTTTCATGAAAATATATTGAACAATACAAAAATTCTTATTTTCGTTTCTGGTTGTTCAATGACTGATTATTGTTTATTCATCTACCAGCCAATTTAGCCGATTGGGGTGGCTCGCGATAATTAAAAATAAACAGAAATCCATTGTTCCATCAATGGATTGCTATGTATAGTCCTTTCCAAACATAAATATTTTAAAGTAAAAATGTATAAGACAGAAAGATTACGCTGTATAAATGAAACATAAAATTAAAATGAAATTTCGATATTGAATTTAAAAAAGCAAATTCAATTGTACTTATAATAAAGAATTTAACTGCTACATACTAAAAATTATATTCGAATTATATTTCGATCTTTAAAGTGCTGAAATATTCTAGTACAGAAGAATTCGTAAATCCTAATATTATCCCAATCAGTTTCCATTCAGGGATCAAAAAAAATTGTAACATTTTTTCAATGGATAAAGCAATTAGAATAAAACTTTTATAGTAGAAGTTTTCACAAATAAATTGTTGTAGTTCGATTCAAAATTACAAGAAATGAAAATTTTCGTGTAACGAGAACATGCATTTTCCTTATCGATAACATTTGAATGAAACTTTTTCTTATAAAAGTTCCGAAATAACTTTGCTCTTAAACCTTCTATTTCAAAAGTTCTAAAATATCTGTAACAAACGGGAAAGTTTTTAAATAAGTTCTTGAGCTGAAAGCGTGTTTCATAAAAGAGTACCATAAGTACAGGTATTCTTTTTAAGAGCAGGGAGAAGTTTGTATAAAGTTTTTCCTTTTTTTTTTTCAATAAAATTTGTTAATAATCGTTTTCCATCTCGTGTGAATAAAACAGGTAACTACTTTCGTGACGAAACGTTCCAATACTCAAGTGAAAGATGTAACATTGCATATTATAAAAATTACGCGGCGTCACGGCCTGATTTCGAACGCGATGTAGGTTAATTGCAATTATAAATTAATTGCCCCGGCCGTTACAGAAGACGAGCCAATTATCGTAGGATCGAACGACACGAGTCACAACACAAGACTAACGGAATTCTTTGAGAGTTCATCGATTCAAACTTTTTAGAAATACTCACGTAACGTAATCGTACCATTAATCGCAACTACGCTAATTTTTTTCTGATTCCTTTTTTTTTTATTGATAAATATGTCTCACTATTAAACGAGAACGAAATTGAATTCTCAGCCACATAAAGTAAACGTCGAATGGGTCGAATGCAACGGGCAAGCTCTTGAAATGTCATATCGCGCCGTTTGATGTTTATTTTTCATCAAAGGTTCGTATTTACCACAGCAGAATCAACTCTAACTTCGATTTCATAAAATCTTTTTACGCCACGATAATTCCGCTGTTTTCAATCGAAAATCAATGCGTGGTTATCGGCAGCGATGGGATCGACTAACTCTCATTTAGTGTGGCGTAGCTGAGTTTGTTGAGCCCTTAGACAAGAAATCATTAAGTTCCCTGGTTTCGTTAAAGTAATTTTTAATTACGAAACGGACAGTAAATAAAAGAAGTTTTCTTTGCATTTTTATATAGTAATATTTATGTTCGATTAGATGCACTATAAAAAAAAAGTCCAGTAATTTTAATTTTTATAAATATGTGTATATTTATATGTCCTTTATGATTTGACAAGTACCAACCACATGAAGATAATTATTATCGTACAATTCGTCAAGTACAATTTCGCTAATATGTAAAATAATACTATACTTGATGATTTTACTATACTTGATGGTTTTTTTCATTAACGTAATCATTGATATTATCTTTTGAAGAAGTGTATTCTTTATCTTATTTCGATTATTGTTTCTTTTTATCGATTTGCAAATTTCTGAAAAACGCAACTAACAAAAATGTAAGAAAGAAGTCAATTTTTGTACTTGAAATATAATCCAAGTGTCACATTGATATCACCGGACGGCAAAGCGTTAACCCTTTGCACTCGAAAGGTGACTCTCAGTCACCATTAGCTTTCACGGAGCAAATCTACAATACTCAAAGTTTTTAGGTTCAATAAAATAATAATAAAAATAAAAATAAAATGTGATTACTTCGTCGGTGAGGTAAAGGTGACATGATTCTCAAATCTCGATAGCTTAGCATTTGTGGCAGTAGACTGCTAAGAAAGCGTCTCGAGTTGCTGGTAGATACTTAAAAAAAAGGCCTCGAGTGCAAAGGGTTAACAGCAGAACAGTAAGCGACACGAGGTTATAGGACGACCTAGCAGTTATATAGCGAGTATGGGGCACACTCCTTTCCTAGTGTAATGCAAGGATTAATTCAACGGTCGATGCAGCAGTAGCTCTGGAAACGAAACGTATCGTTCCGTACGTGTCTTGTCGCGTTACACATTGTAATCCTATCGATCCGTGACAGAAGGGTCGTTAGATAGGTAGCAATTCCCAGCGATAATTCGATTCCGTCGTCTGGATGGACGGAGCTTTACCGTAGATATTTCAGTACGCGCAATCCCTGAGCTTCGATCAGACCTTTAATTCGCTTAAACCGTTGGTTTCTTGCGTCCAGCGTTCGAGCGTGACTCGTCGGCAATTGGTTTTATATTTGAATAGGTTACACGAAGGCTATTGCAAAATGAAACCTGGACTGGCTGCTAATGAAAGGCAAAAACAGAGAAAAAAAGTTTTATTACATAAGGTCACCCCAACGGTAGGTGGTTATCCCTATTAGTGTGCCATTAAGCGAACCGTGCTCACTCGTCTACCAAATAGTGAATTACGTGGTTTTGAGTTCACCTGATCAGAGTCAATATCGACTTGTCCACCTTTTCTTTAGGTTAAGAAGGTATCCTGAATTAGGAGGTCTAAAAAAAGCGGTTTTTCGTGATTTTTTTTTAGGATGGAAAAAAATAATTAATTCTATCGAACTTTTTATCCCGTTTTCATACATATTTGAGTAGTCTGTACAAATTTTGTCAACAAGAAATATTTAAATTGAGTCGACTGCGACACACATTTGTAGAGCAGCTCACAATTAAAACCTCTTTAGAGTCTAAAGAGTTAATTTATCTAAAAAAAAAAGAGGCTACAGTGAAATGATCATAACAAGTTAAAAAACAAACTTTTTACGCTGAACAGTTTTATTTACTTTCTTTGCTGCTTTAATATGGTAACAACACGATAACAGTTCCCGAAAACATCGAACGTATGAAGTATCGAACACAAATACCGGTTTCTCTCAAACTCGTAGCAACGTCGCGACGGGGGAGAAAAGTTCGAATAAGTTTGAAAGTTCCACAGCGAGACGCGAATTTTCCAGAGAAAAGTATTCTCGCAGGAACTTCGTGCAAATTAAACGTTCATCGCGACTAGAGGTTACTCTTTGGACTTTCTCGTTTCCTAAAAGTTGCTGTCCGAGCAGCTAGGCGTTAGGAAAAAAATTCGCTTAAAGTTTTCGTCGAGGCGAAATTGCATAAGATTACGAACATAATTATATAATTACAATAGTCACATAATGTAGTGCATCTCAAAAACTACTAATATTTTTCAGCAAAATTTTTTTTAATCGACGATAGGTTAGCAAATGTAACAATTTAGCTGATTCACGCATCCCCTAAATACCTTGCAAATACATAAGAAAATATTCCTGCACAATTTGAGCCTTCAATTTTGGCATTGGCACACGTGCCCCAAACCTTCGAAAAGTTTCAATGGAAAATACATGGAATTTTGTCAATCGCTTACTTCTTTTTCTTTAATGCCAATAAAAATTGATGTAACAATTTGAAATTTCCCAGAGTTATTATTGATAATAATAGGAAGAA